TGATTCCCGAATTTTAGCTTTGGAATTCTCCCGATTTTTGTCACAAAAGACCCATCCGGCATCTTGCCGCCTTACACCCGATCGGATCCACATTTTTACCAGCAATAAAAACTAAATACACCCTAATTTTTAAAGCAAAATAATATAAAGCACAAATTTATAGCGAATTTCGGGGTTATTTTGCCGATTTTACTGGGATTTTGGCGGCTTTTGACGTCGAAATGTGTAGCAAAAATGCAGACCTAGTTTTTCTATCTGGATATTTTTTCGATTTGAGAAAATATCGTTTAAATCGCAGTCTTAATCACGTTTTATCCTGAAAGTCGTCAGAAACTGGCCCCGTAAGGCTCACTTTTCGGGAAATTTACTCAGAATCGGTATACTAAATGCGAAAATATCGTCGAAAACCCGTGTCATTTACAAAATCTTTTGCCAAAAAACCAGTTTTTCTGCTAAAATTTTTCATTTTATATTATTTCACCTTGAAAATGTGGATGCACATAGTTTTGATGGGTTTGCATCACTGGTAAAATTTGTGCCCAATCGGATCGAAAACAGCCAAACGCCGAGGGGTTTTTTGGGATACCCTGTACTCAAACTTCTCAATTCCCCTTACACTTTTCTTGCTGACAACAAATGCCCGAATATCCTTCTGTGTCCCACGTGGTCTCGAGTATTGTTGCATGTGATAAAGCCGTTTCTTGGGCGACACAGACAATTCCAACATCAGTATCACCTGCGCCCACTAGAAATTTGAAAGTTTTAATATATTTTTATGAAGACGCTTGCATTAACCTAATTGCCCCACCTGGCGTTTCCACTCCTTGGACGTTTGAAAGATTTCTTCATAGGTTCGCGTCATCATAGCGATCAGTAAATTGAATTGAAGGATTGAGACACCCATTTCGAAAAGGATAAAGCACACCTAAAAGCGTATTTCACAAGCTGGAAGGTATATTATTACTTTTCCAATCGTAGACATCAATAACGAATCACAGGCTGCCAGTTCACGATAAAGTGACATAAATTCTCCTGAAAAAATTTAAATCTTGGTTAATACTAGCAAACCGATAGTCATAATAAACGTTCGAATCAAAGCCTCCTGCGGATTCGGAATCAGGTTCTAAAATATTGATATTAAGTCAAATTTATTCAACCTATACCTGAAAAGAATCGCCATCATCAGCCGTCGTCTGTGTAACGGTCACATTTGCCGTATATGCAGCCCGTTCGCATGCCGTAAATATGAGGTAGAAAGCTAGAATTAACGTATTTTAATTAACTATTAAAACATAGCCAAAATAGATACTTACACTGTGAGAATCCGACCAGAAAGATAATATAAATTACGATAAACCGAGACAGATCCGACGCGATAATTGTGTAGATCATCAACACAAAAGGTCCGACGAATTTCACGGCTCTGGAGGTAGTTTAAAAATTAAGGCCAGGTAAGCTGAAGGTATACCGGCTATAATAAAGAAAATGTATGGTCGTCATCGGCACAATAATTGTTGAAATGACGTTGTCGAGGATAAAGAAATATTCGCTGAGATGGCAGCCCAATCGAAGCGGGATAATCAACAATACACCCAGGAATGTTGCTTTGAAGATTAGTTTGGCGGGGAAGGCTGCCTGAAAATATTTGTCTTTTTGCCATAAACATTTTATTTTCAATTATTTCAAACTGGAAGTAATCATAGTATATTTTCTGACGCTCTCTAGAATGGTGTTCAAGAAATTTTGCTAAAATTTTGAAAATATCGAAAACTAGCTATTTTACCCCATTTCGATGGTTATTTTTGTTTTGTTATAACTTTTACATTACCATATTTTGAGCTTGAATTAAAACTCGTAGTATATTTTTCGACGCTCTATTAAATGACGTCGAGAAACCCCGAAAAAAAGCAAAAATATCGAAATCGAAAATTTTTTTGATTCTTGGGCCGGGGTAAAGTAAACCGTAGCCCGAAAAATAGACTAGGAGCTTTTTAAAGTCCAAGACCATGTTTAAAACCTTTTTATTATAAAAAACTTTGCTCCTATTTGCCCGCGTTTTTGTATCAAATTACAAACCATCACACTCCACCACTTCTTCCTCCCAATCCGCCGAAAGTCCATTATATCCATGATAAGGTGCAGAATCACTTGTAGAAGCACCAGCACCTCAGCCCCAAGCCGTACCTTAAAAAAATCGATGGTTGATACACCTCCTTCTCCTTACGTATCCCTGCATTATTGGCAACTCGCCGTAGTGCATCAAGTGACACCTCATCTTTACATCATCTGAAAGCCAACTTTAAAAGGCCGTCCGCGGGTCACTCGAACAGCCCCCATTATGGCTTGGCACAGTTTTTTTAGACCCCGTTTTTTCGACGCCATGTGAAAGAGCCTGGTCTAATTAGTAGGACTGCATAGTTTTGAAAGTTTAAAAAAGTTTGTTTTTGGGGTTTAAATGGCCGTTAAAGTCGCGTACCCCGAAAAACTATCTCGGTGCTCACTGGGCAGAATTGACTGAAACTTCGGGATAATACCTAATTTAGGGCGCTGATCATTTTTGTAATACATTTTGAAGCACGAAAATGGCCGGAACATAGGAATATCGCGTAGCCAAAACAGTTTTTCCGGGTTTTCTTCATGATAGAAAGTTTGCTGTAAGCTGAAAGTAACATCAAAAGATGCGCAAAAAATTTTTGCATCGAATGGTGTCTTTTTTTACGATGCAGCAAGTTTTCCATCATGACGAAAAATTAGCTTTTCTAAAATCAAGAAAAACCATCACAAAATGTAAAAGAAAGCTTATTTTCCAACATATGTAAATGGAGCCCCATATAAAAACTAGCCAAAACCAAAAGCAAAAAGAAATTCCCTTCCTACGCGGAACTGGCGATTTGCCGGGATCGAACCCGCGATGGTTCGCCTGGGGGCACTGGGGACAGCCACTAGTGGGCGCCGCAAAGTAAAGTAAGTAGTAAGTAAAGTAAGCAAAATAGAAATTTTCGTCATGATGGAAAACTTGCTGCATCGTAAAAAATACACCATTCGATGCAGAAAATTTTTGCGCATCTTTTGATGTTACTTTCAGCTTACAGCAAACTTTCCATCATGAAGAAAACCCGTAAAAACTGTTTTGGTTACGCGATATTCCTATGTTCTGGCCATTTTCGTGCTTCAAAATGTATTACAAAAATGATCAGCACCCTAAATTAGGTATTATCCCGAAGTTTCAGTCAATTCTGCCCAGTGAGCACCGAGATAGTTTTTCGGGGTACGCGACTTTAACGGCCATTTAAACCCCAAAAACAAACCTTTTAAACTTTCAAAACTATGCAGTCCTTATTAATTCGACCATGCGGTTTCACATGGCGTCGAAAAAACGGGGTCTAAAAAAACTGTGCCAGGCCTTGTTCGGGTGGCTCGCAAATGGCCTTTTAAAAGCTATAATCGCCATACCGTAACGTAAATTGGAATATTCATAGTACCGGAATTGTGTAAGGTCGTCCACTTCGACAAGGGTTAAGTTATAGTCCACCTAAAATTTATAAAATGTGGTTTATTTAATGTTAAGATACATCCTTGACCATTCTGGAAAGGTCATACGTTTGACCGTCCCCATTTATCATGCCATTTGTTGAGATCTAAAATTTAACCGTATAATTCATCATTTTTTGATTGGTTACCTCAGTTGTTAATGAAAATGGCCGATTCATGTATGCCATGAAGAAGCAGACGTAGTAAAAGACAAAGAATCCCAAAGAGCGATACCAGCTTAAATTAAAAAAATTTTTATGAGTTTTCGATACGAATTAACTCGATTATATTAAACGGTTACGAGATCGAAAAATATGTAAATACAAAAAAAATCTTTTGGCTAACGAATTATTAACTAACTATAGCTAGAATTTCCCACAGCATAAAACTGAAAGCGCAAAACATACCAAACTTTCGCGTACGCATCCCATTTGGCTTGTAAAATATTTTCCAGCAACCCGTCAAGTAATTCGAGATGTTCACCGGTTTCCTAAAAATCAGGGTTTTAACTATCAAATGTTTTTGTTGATTTGTTCGATTTTTTCACGAAAAAGCAGTACGAACAAACCCCATAGACAGCCAGTGACAAAGCTGACTGCTCATTCATTTCACCATTTTTCTCGTTAATAGTATCAATATCGGCGAGGGGATAGGCTGTCTAAAGAGTAAATTTAATTTAGTACTTAGTTAATTTTGAATTAAATTAAATTAAAATTTAATTTATGTATTTCTTCAAATAAGCTACCTGAGATGCTTCACCGTATGACCAAACCGAGTCCGACTCAAGATCGAGGAGTTCGATGAAGATCTAAATCACCATAAGAGTTATTTTTATTTTTACCTTTTTCTTCGCCAGCTTTGCTGCCAATGTCAGCGCTGTTAACCCTTGTTTGTTGGTCACTCGCAGATTCGCTCCCGTCTCAACGGCTAATCGCAGCATTTCCTGATTTTACTTATTTATTTGATTTTTTCCACTTACCATATTCTCATGAATGACACACATGTGCAATACCGTATTTCCGTTTGTGTCTTTTGCATTTGGGTTTGCCTAAAAGCAGGAAAATTGAATCAAAACTGGTTTAATCGGCACTTGTCTGTTAGCGAGGGGGCGAATTTTTGTTCTTTTTCTACTACCTGTTAATGATCGGCAGTGGTCTTGTAATGTTTTTGGTAGTTTTGATTGCTAGAAAGTTATAAAAATTGCTTGAAACATTTTTTAGGGGCTTTTTACATTTAAAAATTGTGCAAAATGGTCTAAAAAGGGTTCGGTTATTTCATTTTGTTATTTACCGTACATTACCGTACCTTCTTTGCCAACAACAACCGATAACACTCCGGCTGGTTCATACAGGCCGCAAAATGCAGTGGATATTCCCCGAAATACATTCGACTAAATATGCGCAAATCAAGCACGTCAAAGGTTAACCCTTACCCCGTATAGTTTGTTTTTGTGCTCAGCTCGACATACTCGTGCTCCAGCGAGTCGGTGCGACTCGACTTTTGGTCTTCGGCACAGAAGAACGCGCCGTGACACCTTAAAAGGTATTAGAGAGTAATAGAAGTTGAGTAGGGTAGCTATAATTATAATATTCAACAATACCGTTTGTTAACGTCAGCGCCTCGTCTTAATAAGATGCTGACCATATACGGATCCTCATTGACGATAGCCTGGTGCAAGGGGGATAGGCCTAAAATCGGTCATTTTCGATGTTTTGGCTAATTTTTTGTAGTTTTTTCGACGTCATCCGATAGAATATTGTAAGAAATTTAGTAAAAGTTTTTATCACAGCTCAAAGTATTGTTACATTAAAAATTTATAGCAAAAACGAGCCGAATTTTTACATAGCAACATATTGACAAAAGTTAGTTTTCGACATTTTCGGTATTTTTACAGAATTTTTTAAACGTCATTTGATAGAGCGTGAAAAAATACTAAGTATTTTATTTTCAGCCCGTAATAATTTAATATAAAAAAGACACAGCCACAACATGCAAAACCGGGAAAACCAGTTTGATCCTAATTTTATGTTATAAATTTTCATATATTTTTTTTGCAATTCCCTTGACTATTCTATGATACTACTGATATCACCCCCTAGCTTACGAAACGCTACCTTCATTTCATAGTCAATTAACTACCGTATATGGTGGGAAACTTTCCAGAAAAACTGGCTAAATTCCCAGGGTGATGGTGGGCAAATAAGAAGCCCTCGGCTGCCTCCACCCTCCCAAAACGAAAAGTATTATTGTTGATGAATACGAGAACTTTTGTTGAATTAGCGATACTACAGCAAAAGACAACGAGTAAAATTGTACCATAATAATCCTCAGAGACGTTGAAATCGTTGACGAGCTTTGGAAAGGTGTCCAATAGCTTTAGGGCCAGCATGTTGTGAATTGAGGTGCCTTGGAGAAGACAAACACCAAGTAACGTTTCACCCATTGACCCTCAAAATAAATTTTTTGTAACAAAACAATCAGGTTCTTATGCATTATCGGGGGGGGGGGACGAAACTTTTTTGTGTAAGTTTAGAAATATCCAGGAATTTAATAGAAAGTATTTTTGCAGTTTTTTGTAAAATATACATATTTCTACTAAAATAACTAACTAAACCTCCTAAAAATGTTTTACAAGTTGAAATTTTTGTAAAAAATCGGCGATTTTTGGTCCAAACATCGAAAATTTTTTTCAAAGCTTGAAAGTTTGTAGAGTTTTATGTTTATAAATATCACACAAAAAATTTAGAAACACTTTCGCTGTTTATATTAGAAAAATTGAACCTCTCCCCGATAACGCGCAAGAACCGAAATTCCAACAAACCTCGCTCCTCCAATTTCCAACAAACTTCACGATATTTCGATTCACCACCCTTCTTCCCGCCTCCATCCAGTAATTTCAAGGCTAGATTTCATGCAATTATATCTCTCAACATCATGCTCCCCCACCTTTTCTCAAATCTCCGACGTTCGCTCCTTCCTGGTTGAACTCGTCGAGCACGTTGGGCCCCGATTTTCCCTTGCCCTTTTTCCGGGAGAATGCCGACAACATAGCATTACGTTGCTAAAAAGTATCGTCAAACATCCAGAACCAACATTACCTTATTTCTTATCTTCACAAGTTCCGGTACAGTCACAATTTTTCCTTCACCCTCACGATATAGAAATTCTCTAACCCGCACATCAATATAACCGTCAATAATAGAATGGTCATTGGTTTTATGGGCATATCTGAAAGTGATGGAATATCGCTCAGTAGTGCCGCTTTCATACCTCATCCAGGGTATTAACTCTCCGCCTCCATGCATATCAACAAATCGATATAACAGGACATCTTCGCTGAGGCGGCCCATCGTGCCCAGCTTCATTTTGTCGGCGTCGGAGGAGTGTGATGAGCCCATTTTAACGCCTGACGGATCGATCATAGGTTATTTTCATTAGATTGGAATGGAAAGGAAAAAACAGAACGGTGATGTGTAGTTATAAAGTCGTCTGACTTAGGGTTAGGCCTTCGGTTAGGCTTAGGTTCGGGCTAACGTTTAGGCTTAGGTATGGGCTTAGGCGTCAACCTCGGCTTCCGCTTCGGCTTGGGCGTCGGCTTAGCATTGGACAGGCGTAGGCTTAAGCTTAGGATTAGGATTAGGGTTAGGCGCAGGCTTAGGTTAGGAGTGGTCCCCGACCACTTTACTTAGGCTTAGGTTGGGCTTAAGCTTAGGAGCTCCGGCTTAAGCTTAGGCCCAGGCTAAAGTTTGGGCTGCTTAGAGTTAGACTTAGGCTTAGGTTTAGGCTTCGGCTTGGAGCTAAGCTTAGGCTTAGGCATAGGCTTAGGCGCTAGGCTTAGGCTAGGCTCAGGTTTAGGTTAGGCTCTGGCTTAGACTTAGGCTTGGGCTTAGGCTTCAGATTGGGCTTCGGCGTAGGCTGGCTTGGGCTTAGGTTGGACTTAGGCTTAGGCTTAGGCTCAGAATTAGGACGAAGCGTAGGTTAGAGTTTGGCTTTAGTTTTAGTTTGGACCTAGGCTTATTCTTAGGAGCTTAGGTTTAGGCTTGGGCATAGGCGGAAATTTTATAAAGAATTAAGGCCAGAACGCTTCCTAAAAAGTGAGGACTTTAGCTTTTATAGGACTTCGATAATCAACATCAATTGCCGGAAGTAGAAGTGGAAGCCCGAAAACCCAACCCAGCCGGCCGCAAATACCGAACGGACGTCCCCCTCCCTCCCCCCAAAAGCGACACCGCCAAAAAAGCACATGTCCCCGCAGAAAACATAGCCCCTGTGGCAGGTGGATAATGGGTTGCCGACGGAGCGTGGCCCAAGATTGACTGGCTGACGGCCGTTGAGCCTCAAAATTCCATTAACCGGTGCCATGGGAATGTGTAGACCCCCCCTTGAGGGTCCCCCTCCCCACCACCACCCCCATTGGAGCTACAAAATTGGGCCCACAGCCACATAGCGCGGTAGTGCGAGAAAATGCCCGCGCCAATAAACGAACCTCGTCCACAACCATCTATCAATTACCCCCCTTGGTTGGCTAGTGGGGAAAAGGGCGCTGGAAAATCTTGACTTCAGCGTTTTTAAAAAAACACGGTTGATTGGGTACTGGGCTGTTAGCGGGGGGGGGGGATTCTCAGAAGACGAATCTTTGTTTTTCCTACCTGTAAATAATAAATGCCAATTTTTTTAATTTTTACACTGTTTTAGACATCGATCTCCTTCCAACTCCAGCTAAAAACCTGTCAATAACTTTGTAAAAACGGATCGTCTGTATAAGCTGTGCTAAATGAACTAAAATATCAATAAAATAAGAATATAATCTTAACTAAAAAAAGGCAGCAAATCATTTTCTTCTCGTCGCTCTCAATATCTGGGACACCATCTCAGAGTCCGTTTTTTTTGCAAATGAAATATGAGCCGTGAGATAGCCGATGAATTTGGCGGATGCTTAGCCATAAAGCTGGATCCCCAACTCCAGAGCACGATGAGGAGCTTCTCTGAAATGTTGTGAAATATCTGAACGGAAGCACAGTTTATCTAAAAGCTCTGCAAGGAGTTTTTGCATAAATTGCGTGTTCTTAATAAGCTTTAGTAGCCGTGGAAAAACCGGTGGGGACGGACGGACCTCGAAACCTGGAACTGGACAAGACGCTCTTGCTCGAGGCTAAATTGGCGACCTCTAGTCTCGAGCTTGTTCGAGACCATAGCTGGACAAGTTTCGGGACAGCTAGGAACCTTTCTCTACATCTTCAAGGTTTCTTTCTTTTCGAAAGAGTTACGGGATTTTGAAAACGTTGCTTTTTCGGTGTTTATCACCATCTATTTCAGGTTTTTAAATGCCAGATGGCATCTGGCTTTAGGAAAATCGTCGTCCTCTCCCACTTTTCTACATCAGACAAAACTCCCCAGATCGTTCATTGAAAACGAATCCGGTCTTTCCAAGGAAAGCAACTTGGCCCATCCTTTAGCAAAAAAGTAGTGCTCCTCGCCCTAGTTCCGCCCAACCAGCTCCCTCGGCAGAAGTCCACCATTAACCAACTTTCACACCAATGTCCGCCCGGTCGGTCTGAAACGGAGGGGCGAGCGGAAATTGTGGAATTGACCCACATTTTCGCCCTTTCCACCCACCCGACGCGACCACGCGTTAGGTTTTACCTCTTGCAGCTTCTTAAAGTGGTTTAGTGAGGTTGATGGAGACATTTAGGGACATCTGCTTTTCGCGCTCTCTCTCTCTCTCTCTCTCTCTCACTCTCTCATCTCTCTCTCTCTCTCTCACTCTCTCATCTCTCTCTCTTTCGGTCGCTCTCTCTGTCTCACGCTCGCATTCTCTCACTCTCTCTCTCTCTCTCTCTCTCTCTCTCTCTCTCTCTCTCTCTCTCTTTCTCTCTCTCTCTCCCTCTCTCCCTCTCTTTCCGGTCTCTCTCTGTCTCACGCTCGCATTCTCTGACTCTCTCTCTCTCTCCCTCTCTCTCACTATTTCTCACTCTCGCATTCTCTCCCCCTCTCTCTCTCTCTCTCTCTCTCTCTCACTCTCTTTCTCTCTCTCTCTCTGGAAGCGCCTGCCATCTCATGCTCTATATCTAGTTTTTTTGCATTGTATAATTGGTTAGCCTCTTGCCTTTAATTCGTATCCTAATTTATAATCACGGGAGGACAATGATGCCGCTTTGATTTGATAGGAAAAGCGGGGATGATGGGTCTGGTTGATTGTTTGTATTTGTGCCGTTGATGTGGAGGGAGGGCTGCTCATGGTGCACGCTGCCCCGTTTGCCCCCTCAGACAAATCAACTCGCTTGCCCGCTGCTCGGCGCATTCTTTTGAGAAATATTTTTTGGAGGGCTTTATGGCAATTTTTGGGGTGAATAATAGGAAGTATGGGGAAGGAGGTGGATGTTGTGAATTATTTGGGTAACCAGTTCTTTTCTATGCCCTCACCGCCGCGATTCCGTAATGCGCTGCCATTCCGGGATTGAATGCGGGAAAGGAGATGGCGGATTTTTTCATTTTGAGTAGTGACAGCCTGTTAGCAGGGAAAACTGATTTTTCCCATTAATCCTGCACGGTCCTTTAACAAAATATAATTCAATTTATAGCATTTTATGCAGTTTTTAGATATAAAGCCCGTAAAAACTTCTCACCGTTTTCAAATTTTTAACTTTTTGCTCACAGATGTGGGTAAAATGACCAAAAAATGCAACTTTTCGGATTTTCTGAAATGTTTAGAATATTTGTATAATTTTCTAGCAATCAAGACTACCAAGCACTTTTGAAAAACACATTGATAGACGGAAAAACCCAAATTGGTTTTCCCCCGGCTAAAAATCCCCTCTGATGGTCCAGCACCATCTACTTTATCGAAAATAACTTTTTCGCAATTGGAATTTATCAACATTTGAATGTGAACCCAAAATCGGGAAATTTAATCTGTTGAAAACGTATCGAAATTTCTTTTTTTGAAAATCGAATTTCGTTATGGTGAAAACACATTTTTCGCTTCAACAAATAAACCTTCCAAAAATATAATTTGACCTTATAATTCTCACCAAAATTTAAATGAATTTATTTCATGCAAGTTGCAAGTTATCAAACATCAAAAAAATCTAGCTACTCCTACATACCGTTCCGTTTTTCCTTTCAACTGACAAAAGGCGGTGGGTGTATGGGTTTCGCATCCACCAGGCAGGTGTCCAATGGAAAGGTGGTGCGCGTGCGTGAATTGTTTACAGATTCTTTTGTGTTCTTCCGGTACGACCTCACCCTCCCTCTCAACCTCCTCCCAATGGTCAACCTCCCCCCTGGATGCCCTCCCCAATTAGGTATTGTCATGGGGGTTGGGGACATGTGTATTTGTGCTGTGTCAATGCCTAAAATGCACTCCTCCACCTTCCCCCCGCCCGGGCA